GTGTTAACGTAGTTCATAATAAGTATGAACAGATTTATTTGTATGATACCCAGACAAGAACAACGAGATCCACTTCACAGACTCAGTGTTGCTTCTTATTATTTCTCATGTCCTTGCAAATTGAATCACCCTGTTTAAAGTCTCAATTGCTTTTCAGATGGGAGTATGTCGTCACTACAAGTAATTGGTATTCGAAGTATCTCTGGTCATGTAAAGATGGCCCCTCCACTGTCAATTAGTCGATACTTAAACCGGAGCTTCCAGTAAATACAAAATGTAGTATTCCAGCTGTATTGTCGGCAAAATTGCGTTTGAAGATTTGATATAAAGTAAAATATGCGCGTTGTTAAATGAAACAGTTATGTAGCAGATTCGGTTATGATTCAGGTCGCAGTTTCTGAGTATGAGGGTGGTATCAGATCATCGAAATGCACGCTGGAGTCTATGTCCGATGATTGAATATGGACTGTAGTACACAATCAATACTCCATAGCATTTACCATTGAGATCAGTCTGAGATGTAAAGCAGCTTCTTGGATTGTTCCTGATCCTGTCCATACTAGATTTAACGGACGACTATTTTACTCATGTTACCACTGCTTCCAAGCGAACTTCGTAACAAATAACGTAATGTATCAAGGTTTCGACTAGTATAAGGACTTTCTACTAAGTTAATCAATCATAATACCTGGTTAATTTAATATAATACAGGCTAAACCATTACCAAACACTGTTCTACAATAGTAGAAATCAGTCAGTCAGTCAGTCAGTGATTTTTTATTCACAGCATAATTGTTTGAAAGGAACAGACCAAACGTGTACCGCAAACATCGAATGGTTTGATTTGAAACTTTAACTTTTTTAGTTAATTGTCGAAATGTAGACCTTTCATAGGTAATAAAGCGCTGAGATACCCTCACTTCATTAAACCGATCATCATGTGTATAGCACATTATTAAGCGAGAAAAAAAACCGAAAGATACTTTCCTGTTTGTTTTGACGTCATTAGGAAGTTATGACCTTTATTTGTTCTGTTTTTACGTTCAATTTCACGCATAACACGGGATCTCGTAGTGAAAATGGTTTATTGTATAATGAACCCGTTGGCGTTTATTCCACGGTACATGGATTAGACGCATAGCAATGTATATTCATCTCTAAGAGCCAGACAGCCAGCAACACATCAAATTAACGCTAACAAAAAGCAAGTAGCAGAAGTGTTGGCGATACGGCTTTAATCTTCCCAACATGACATGACGTGAAAGTTAATCACGTAAATTCAGTTCAATGAACCTTGTGCCCAAATGGTGCATCTGAAGAAAACGTATGACACAGTAACGAAACGAAATGCACGCGGAATTCCGATATCTTCGCGACCTATATAATAATGTAAGTACACACCGAAAGGGCTTATGTAATAGAAAAGACTACTTAACCTTTATTCAATTTGTTTGAGCAAAACACAAACTTCAAAAAGCGCTCTCGCCAGTTGACATTAATATATTTTGATTTTATCCTCTGTTCAACAAAGGGAAACAAATCAGACAAGAAACAATTATTTAGGCGAGTGGTTGATATTTATGGAGCAAAAACTAATGTTTTAAAGTATGTTCCTAATTAAAGCATCATGGCCTATTTTATGTTATTGTAACCCCTACAACATTTTATGCAATGCTCCATAATAATACTAAAGTCAACTACGTTACGTAAACACTCAGTCCCAAAAATAAATTTAATATTAAGGCTAATATTATTACATATTATGGCTGAATAACCGCTATCCCTACTGAACCGGTGTACTTTACCCATGTTATGACAACTATAAACAATATGCAATTTTACGACTACTAAACTGTTTTAAAAACTACTGGATGTAAGCACGTTTGCCAAGAACTCGAAGAGGTATGCAGACAATGTTGACCTGGGAAGCACGGCAACAAATTAGGCAGTAGAAAACTGCGGGGTTTCAGTATAAATTACTACATCGCATTCTTGCCACAAATAATTTTCTGCCCAGAAACAAAATCGACCAACAAAATCGATTGTGACCAAAAATTTAGAACGTATGTTGAAACGAAATTGTTAAAAGAGCGTGGAATGATTAATCCAATAAACTATGGTAGAGAGCATTTTTGAGAATGTTTTATTTTTTTTTCATTTTAACTCAATTTATGAATGGATAACCCTACAATATTCATGAGAAATTTCCCTTGATATAAAGACCAATTTTTCAAACTTTGGCACAGATATGATTTTGGTTTCCATGGATATTTCAGGAATGTTTTTCATTCGTAAAGCTAAACGTTTATGGACGGATTTCCATGAAATTGTTAGGAATGATTGCGCTTGACAAAAGGACCAATCCAATTAATTTGTTCGTGGATATGCGTTATCATTTCTAAGTGAAAGAGTGATAGATGAATTGCAAATTGAGTTAGTAGTTCGTTGGCTGAGGTATTGAGTTTGGAAACTAGAATATTTTCAATCACTATTGATTCCAGGTCACTGAAAAAATAAAGACGAATTTTCTTGAAATTGTTTAAATATCCTCCAGACACAAACCAATCGATTAAATTTTCAGAGAGATCTGGAACCTGTTGCCATAGAGACAACACATTTTGGAAGGATTCTTTACCATTGCCTGATTGTGTCATTGTCTGATTTCTTGTGCAAATACAATACAAATACTTTTCAAAACGGGAATATAAAAAATGTGTTCTGTCATAAGGAGATATATTAATATAATAAAGTTGATGCATTATTGAGGATACATAACTTTCACCTGTGGGGGTTGCGCTCTTGGAGTGCTCTCTAGTTTTGATATGTATTTGGCATGCCCGTGTGTCAATAAATATGTATATTGTTGCATGAAATAAACAATACGTAAAAATATATGTCTATTCATTTATGTATTCATGTTTCGGGGTGTTCTCTTTCCCCTTCATCAAACTTTAATCGTCTATCAACACCTGGTGATAAAATAGAATCACAGCACAGACAGCAGTTTAATAAAATGAAACACATACACGCTACTGTAATTGCGATATGGTAAATTAATTAAGCATACGACTTCAATGAAGAAGTAATAAATACTGGGACAACTGACATACATACATACTGCTATGTTAATTCTGCAAAACAAGGTCTGGCAGTGAAGCATATAAAGTGTCAAATACGAGTAAACGAGTAAAATGAAATGCTGCCGAAATAAACACATGCTCTGAGACTCTAATACATTGGGGGAGGGGCGATTTAGTCTAGAATATATGATGTTAGAAAATTATGGTTGTAGCTATTAAGGATTCTTGTTTGTTAAACCTAGAAGTGCTGGGGTATGGGTAATGAAACAGATGTTCTGCTATCCTGTTTGATTCTGTTAATAGGATTGTCGAGTGTCGATGATCTGTTGGTATTAATTACTCTTGTGGCTGCATCGTGGTAATGTCCCGGGGGGGGGGGCAGTTGATAATGGCTGTTGCCCCTGAGTGCTAAAAAATGGGACCATTTTTATACCCGGATAGTGGCAAAATCTATATCCATATTTATACCAAAGTACCATTTCTGTCACCACTGTTTATTCCAAATACAAGAGTTACCGTAATTGCTTTATTAGAAGATCATCTACAATAGAAGCACATGTAAGCCAACAGTTGCATTGTATATTGATTTATTAAAATATGTATTTTGACCATAGAAACACCTCTGTCACTTACATAAGAGCATATTATTAACACAATGTTCAGGTTATTTAGGTTGTTAAATGATAAACAACAGTACCAAATCGGGAAAATATTACCGATATTTATACCTATCTTGACCAGAAATAAGACCGATACTTATACCTAAAATAAAAAAGAGACCCATATCAGGGGCACGTGCCCATTAGGCAAGTTCTATGTATTGCACCCCGGGGGTAGGGAAGCCCTTATTGTTATAGAACAAATGCGTTCTAAGATTGTCTACTCGTCCAGCAAGTTTGTGTCTCTCATATTGTTTATGTAATCAGTAACTACTTTAGCATGTTAGGTAATTTTTTGTAGTATTATTGCACCCGAGTAAATCCTGTACGTTTTGAGCGTAATCATTTGAGTCCATATTTACCATAGCGCCAGCCTTGTCTGATGACGGACAATATTCTTCCCGGCTTTCAGAATAGGACTTTCCCACAATAAATAATTTAAATAATTAGTAATATTGTTTTTCAGAAAATTACTTTATTCTAAATAACCAACCACACAGCCAATCACAGTTCTTCTGTTGAACTGTATTGCTCTAATCTAGTGTTGGCTGGTTCCCGCCTCAAGTGTCATGACGTTCGAGTATTGTCTCGGGTGTCACGATATTGCCCCTGTGAATGTAAGTGCAACAATGAGTGGTGACTCCACGGCTACTATACTGGCACACTGGCACATTGACCTAAATTTCGATGAAATGACATTATTATAGATATACTATGCGGATTAGCTATTTTTAATTGTTCATGTTTCTAGAGTAGTAGTTGTCATATAATGAATGTTTTGTTTTTTGCAGCTTAACAACTTGAAGTTAACCCCTGTTCAGTGGTTCAGATCTCGGAATATGAACAGTCTATACTTTCCTTATTACTGTGGCCAATATTTTTGCTGTATTTATTCACATGTTGATTCAAAAATAGAGAAAGTCTGTTTGTTTGCTTTTTAAAATTAGTTTTCCATGATTCACGAATGTCCTGATAATGCAAACTGAACAGAAAACCGTTTATTCCCGAAACTATTTGATTAAAATCAGATGTATTGTATGGCGTGTTTTTTTGTGTTTTTTTATTTGATACATTTTAAAACTTTTTTCTGTACTTATCCTAGTAAATCTGTTTACACGGACTCAGTAAATTTTTTTTCTGACATGGGTTTAATTCCGCAACAGTCCTTTCTCATGATTTCAAAATGATGACCATTAGGCAAAAAGGTCACAGGGAGACGGTCATTAACTCCCATGAATCTTTGCGAAACCAACATGGCGACTTCCATATGAACAAATAATCTGTGCCTGTGCCCTGCTGAATGAAAACAATGTGTTTCATTTCGTTTCACGATCAGCTTCAACACCTATTTCCTGTAATATTTTACTAAGAATGGAAGAATCGCTATCAGAAGGCGGGGATGAGGAATTGCTGATGCTTTATCATTTAGTTTACTCCACCGTCTCGTTTATCTTTGGAATTGCAGTACTCGTCAAGTACTTCCGCAATGAGCTCCGTTTGGGCGTCCGATGTGTTTACGCACTGCTAGTTTTATTTGCCGGGGAACCAGTCTGTCATTTCGCAATAGGGAGTCATCTTGGTGTTATTATATTTATTTTATTTTGTATTGTAACGTACGTAACGCTTCCAGCTAATCACCTTGAAATCAACCACAAAGCAGTACTAGTAACAGGTATGTGTTTAAGGTCAAGGCT